CGCGCTTGCAGCCCTTTCAGAAGGAAGTGGGCGGCTCTTAAAAGAGCCTTTTGGGGTTGAGAGGGTTAAGTCTTCCCTGCGGTCCACTCCAAAGCCTACTTGGTTTACTTGGAGCTGGTGTACTTGGTGACGGCCTTGGTCCCTTCGGAGACGGCGTGCTTAGCCAGCTCGCCGGGCAGCAGGAGGCGCACGGCCGTCTGGATCTCGCGGGAGGTGATGGTGGAGCGCTTGTTGTAGTGGGCCAGGCGGGAAGCCTCGGCCGCGATGCGCTCGAAGATGTCGTTGACGAAGGAGTTCATGATGCTCATGGCCTTGGAGGAGATGCCGGTGTCGGGGTGGACCTGTTTGAGGACCTTGTAGACGTAGATGGAGTAGCTCTCCTTGCGGCTCTTCCTGCGCTTCTTGTCGCCTTTTTTCTGCGTCTTGGTGATGGCCTTCTTCGACCCCTTCTTGGGCACCGGCGCGGATTTAGCAGGCTCAGGCATCTTCGCTCTTTCTCTCACGCTGGCAAACAGCGAACTGAAGAACGCCGCGGTCCCGCTTCCCTTTTATAAGCAGCCGTATGCTAATGAGGGGACTCTGATTGTCAAGCGGCGGTTGGTCCGCACCATTTGGGCGGGAAAGTGGGAGAGCCAATCAGGAAGGCCGAAGCGGTCGTTCGCTATTGGACAAGGAAACACAATGGCTTGGTTTGGGGTTTGAACGCGGGCCGGGAGTTGTTTTCTGATTGGTTCCGCGAGGCTTGTCTCTCATTGGTCTATTTTGAAGCGATTGCGAGGAATGCAAAAGGAATTGTGGGTTTAAAAGGAAATAAAATCAATACATCGGATTAGTGATCTGACTGAAATAAGGAAAATTGGGAGCCAAATTAAGTTTCTGAGAACATTTAGCCGGTTGGCACCCGAGCAATGTCTACGGAGTCCAATGGGTTTGGGGGGGCAGCTGTCTGAAGAAGCTTCAACTGCAAAATTAAGTGAAGGACAATCCTGGAGAAATTACCTGCAATGACGAGATTATTAGCAAATAATTATCTAATTATGAGTTATCCTTAAAACGGAGGACCAGTTGCACCGACTGGCAAAGCATTATAGAAAGCAAACTCTGTCAAAATTTATAGAATAGAATAGAATTCTTTTTTTTAATTACAAAGTTTTTTATTTATTTTTTGTTGCATATTTTAACTTTTATAAACAAAGTGTTGTCCTTGTTGCCTCCCCTTTACATCTTCTATTGTGCATGTTACATTTTGCATCATATTTTACATTTCAGTCATCTTATTTTTATTCCATAGTCTCCCGCTTCATTTTAATTTTTTTTCTTAATGTATAGGCAATATCCTTATTTGCCTCTCAAAATCAATCATATTTTTAAATATCATTTCCATCAATTATTCAGTTTTACTATTCATAACACACATCCTCAAGTTTAATTTTCTATAGTAAGCATTTCATTTAATTGGTTATCCACAAGTAATCATTTTAATCTATATCCCTCACATTGTATTGAATATGTAAAGGTGTCCATATTTACTAAATTTCCTTTTATTCTACTAGTAAATCCTTTTCTTTATTTCCTCCTTTCAATCATTTATTCAATAAATAAATGAAATTCAATTCAATAAATCAAATAAATGAATTTAGTCTCTCAGGAACTTCATTTCTCTTATATTCTCTTTTCTCCACCCATTTGCCTAGTGTTTTTTTTTTCTTTTTCTTGCTTTTAGTATATTTTA